CAAACAGTCTGCATTTGGGGAAATTGGGAACAGGCTGGAGGAGAATCTTGGAAAAGACTGAGGATTGCCTAAACCTGGGCCCCTTTTATGGATCCTTATAGAATGAAAGAGGGGAAGCTGAAGAGGGCCCCAAATCTTGGGCCAGCATGGCAAGTCCTTGCTAGGTAGCAGTGGGAAGTAGGTTCCCCTGGTACCCAGAGGGAAGTGAGTGGGGTCGGGAGGAAGGCAAGTTTAGGTTTAAGAGTGTAACATTCTGAAACAAGGAGTGAAATGAAGCCTTGGCCATCCTGGTGCCCATCCCTCTGAAGGTGGGAGCCTAGAGAGAAAGGACAATAACATGGAAGATGCCTGGATGGCAGCTGCTGTCCACAAGGTGAGTCCCAAGCTAGGAGAAGAGGCCCTGTTGCCCTTCTCTGAGGCCTGGCTGTGGGAGTGGAGAGATCAAAGTAGAACAGGTTCCTGAGGGATCCAGAAGTCTGGGAGGTAACAACTGTTCCTGTATATGCCACCACTGCCCCACTGCCCCAGCCTTCCAAGAAGAAACAGGACTAGGCAGGGCATGGGAACACCAAGTCCAAGTTCAGCCACTTTTCTTTCCCCATCTAAATCACCCTTTGCTGCCTACCAGGAATTTCCTAGGGACTCCCTACTCAAACACATACTCAGGATGCCCCCTCATAGGACTTTTCTGAACCCCCAGCCTCTTCTTCAATCTCAACTTCCATTTCTTGCCTGGACAGCTGAGGCCTCGTGTCTTCTGTCCTCTACAAATCTGTCCTCTTATTTTCTTTCCTGCAACTTAGACTCTGGGCAGGAAAGGGCCCCCAAACTCTACTCCTGCCCTACAAGGCCCCAAGTCTGGGCTAGAATCCAGACCTCATGGTGGTAAGGCTCTTTGTTCTCCTACAGCCTTAACCCACCCCCTCCTCTTTTTAAAACTGGAATTTCTCCCATAAAAAAAAGGGGTGGGGGAAGCAGGAGCTCCAGAATTTCCAAAGAGTTTTGTTTGTGTTTTCCTTCCTAAAGAATACGAAAGAAATAGAGGAGAAGGAGTCAGAGAGGGAAATTGTCTGATGCTTGATTCTCAGAAGAGGCAATGTGAGCGTTAAAAAAACACACACCAATTTCATTTCTATCAACCTTCTCCCTAGCCTAGAAGGCAGACTATGTTCAGTCCTCAAGTGTGTGCTCCAACTTGTGCCCTCCTTTTGCAAATGCTGCACTGGTATATCCTTGACTTTGTGTTTGTTACAGTTAGACAAGAAACTCACACACCTCTTCAACTTCAGAAAGACCCAAATAACTGTCTCTTCATTTCCCTAGTATTTTCCTTGGGAATGTTCTTTGTAAGTAGGGAGTAGGGTGAGTGTGTAAATTAAGTGTCCAGACAGATAAGCAGACAAGCAGGGACCTTTATTTGTGTGTAGAGGATTAGGGCAGAGAGCTGGGTGTCTTCTTGCACACATTTGGGCTGTGTCCACAAATGATGTGCTGAGACAGTACTTGCATCCTGCCCTCATCTCTCATCCTGTGTGTCACTTGCACACATACGCATGCACACATACATACACACAGTGACAAGACACATGAAATATATCCTTTATACACAGGAGAAGTTGAACTTAAGATGAGAACTTGATCCACTGAAGGACACACATCTCCTGTGGATGTTCTTTGAACAAACAGCCAGGGCAGCATAAAGCCGGTTTTATCCCCCATCAGACTGAGGGCCATTTTCCTTTCCCTTCAGTCTTTTTCCCTACAGCAGCAGCTCAGCCAAAGACCGGGAACTGTCATCCTTTTCCATTTCACTTGCTTTTCTCTAAACTTCATCCACCGCGGAGCCCCGCCGCAGCACCCCGCAGCCGGCGAGGCGAGTCGAGGTGTGGCCATGTGGTGAGGGCTGCGCTTTGCAGTCAAGGTTTCTGCGCCGAGCTTTCTAGGGCGGGGATCGCCTCCCAGATGTAATTACTATGTTTCCAGTGGTGCAGATTCTCCTGGAGTGTTTAATTTGATTTTATTTGTGTCTCAGCGAGATCCACATTTTTTTCAGGGGAGGGGAAAGAAGCGACCCCAGGCTTAAAGTTAATTAACCAGCGAACACTTTACTTTCCACCGCCTGCCCGCCCCGGCAGGCTCTGGGCATCCGTGCGCCTCCCTCCAGGATCTCCTGTGCCCTAGTCCTGGTGCTTCGGCGATTGAAGATCTTGGAGAACCAGGAGAGAGAGAGTAGATGTTAATCCGAGCTCCTGGACTTCCCTAGCTGTTCTTAGCCCCCAACTTTTCCCTCCAGTCTTTTCATTCTCCCAAGTCGCTTTGGCGGGCAAGGAGGGCTTGTATCTTCTGCTGGTCTTTTTGATGAAGGCGACTTTGTTTCTTTCGCTCTCTTGTCTTCCCGCTAAATTTTGGCCGCCTAGTGTCCCTAATAAATGGAATTGTAAAGTTGCTGGGTTAATTAAATCTATATCTCATTGCAAAGGAATAGTTAATACCCTTATATAAACCTGGAAAAGAACATACTATTAATTTTATTTATTGCTGGGCCTCCCTGTACTCCTTCCCACCGTTCTATTCTCTACTCTCAAAGGCTGGGGGGATGTGCTTTGGGTCTCTGATGGCCTGGGACATTAGGCTGAACCAGGGAGAGTAGCCCAGGAATGGCACCCAGGCTCCAGGTCCTTTGTTTCTACTGGAGCCCCCATTAAGCCTGGTCCACAGTCGCCAGAAGATTTTCCAGCAGGGTACGGGCACTTCACACCACGGGAGGCCCAAGCCTCTGAACCACTTCTATCACCATGGCTGGAAAACTAGACCTCTCCATCCAACAACCACCCTAACCAGGCATTAGGCAAGGGGGCCAAGGTCAAATGACCTAGCCCAGCTTTGCCAGACAGTGTTTGCTTTCCCCATTTTACCTTGACCTTGGACTCCAGTGGCAGGATAGACTGATGTCAGCTTAGCCAACCCCTACAAGATCCCTCCCTTCCCTTGGCGTGTTTTTCCTCACCCCAGCAGCAGCACCCTCAATACCGGCAAGCTGGCTTGCTTCTTCTGCTCCAGAACCCTTTCTGTTGTATTCTTCTTACTGCTGTCCCAATGCTCAGTCTGCTCCCCCAATTCTCAGCTGACCCTTCTGGATAAAGATCTTGGTGATAAGAATTAATTAAAAAGAAATCCTAACTCACCAACTGCCTGAATGCTCTGAATCGTCAAACACCATCTTCCTCCTTCAGGGAGGAGGGAGGCAGGCTTGTGGGATCTCAGCGTAGACCAGTCATTTGCCCCAGGCTTGAGGGATCTGGTGGATTCAGCTTGGCAGGGTAGGAGGCCTACTGCATGGCCACAGCTTGGGCACACGGATGCAACCAGCATTGAAAACCTGTGGTAGAGGCAGGAAAGGGAGCCGCTGCAGACCCTCTCTCCTCTCCCCCCTCCCCTTTATTACCACTTCTCCTCAGGGAGGCCCTGTACTGAAAGGGAACTTGGCTCAATGCCACGGAGATGCCCCTCCAAGGGGGTAACTCTGTTGAGGTGTGGGAGGAATGGGGGATTAGGAGGACAGATTAGGGGGCTGTTGAAAATCAGTATGTTGGTGTTAATTTTTCTTTGAAATTTGGGAGAGTTTTAGGGTATGGATATACTCCGTATTAAAGACAGTAACCCCAAGACAGCTAAGGCAGCCAGAGCAAGGTTGTTTGACTGGAAATGATGACTTGGATCTCGGCTATGTCTTGCCCCTGGGCCCTCTACCACCCCATCAACCTTACCCACCCTGGGCTGAGGCAGGTTCTGAAAGACAGTGGTGGAGCCTCAGTGTTCCCCAAGAGTTGCACTTGAAAGAGGTCTCTCCAAAGGACAGCGTGGATTCTTCCTTATTTTTCACCTTTCCTTTCGTATACCTAAAGTAGACAGACAGTGTGATAGGTACCTAAGGCTTTATGCTTTCCTAGTCCAGGTCTGCCTCCTCATTTCTTTGGGGGGGAAAAAATCTACGCCGAGGCTTTATTGCTATATCGTGTTGAAACATCAGTGTTTTTTTTTATTGTCCACCCTAATTTCCCTCCTATCCTTCTATATCTCGCTGAGCGTATTCCATCGCTGCACGATCTCCCAAATGGATGATTCAGGGTCATTACCTCTCCCAACTCCGATATACCAGCGAGGGAAGGAGAGAGGGTCCTTTTTCAGACAACTGTGGCTTTGGGAAAAGTGGCTGAAGATCGGAAATAAAAACACAATCTGGCCTTCAAAGGCGTGCTGCAAGTCGTCATCGGACTCTTCCCAGAAACGAACCGGAACAGCCTACTCTGCTAGGGCCGGATCGCTTCAGTGTGTTTTCTAGTTTCTTCAGTTATTGTTATTATTATTATTATTTTAAAATCCAGTGTCACCCCCACTCTTAGCTCCAAGCCCCAATTTGGAGGCTTCTGCAGTCAAAGCAACCGGCTTGGGGATGGGTGTCGGTCTCCCGGGTGCACAATTCTGAGCCTAGGGGGTGGAGCCCAGAACAGTCCTCAGCTCCCTAGGCCCCTTTGCGTCGGCCAAAATCAGCCTCCTCCCCCCTCCCTTACAGAGACTGCCAAAGGGGGGCGTCGCCATGTCCCTTTAAATCTCCCAGTTCCCTCCGCCTTCCCTCCTCCTGACAGCCAATCATCAAAGACCTAATTTCTTTTTGCCACGCCCCACCTCTCTGGGAGGGAACCCCAGGAGACCCGGGCTGGGCGTCACGTGGGCGGACCGTGGTCACGTGGGGAGCCGGGGAAGTGGAGGGAAGGAGGACCCGAGCCCACGGATTTCTTAATGAAGTGTCTCCGCATGCGTGGAGGGCATGTGGGGAGGGAGGGAGGGAGGGAGGGAGGTGGAAGCTCTCGGGGAGGAGACGGGGAGGGGTGGAGAGGCAAGGGAGGAGGGGTGGGGGAGGGAAAAGAGCGAGCGAGGTGTCTCCCCGGCTCTCTGCCTCTGGCAAGTGGAGTTTTTAAAAAGCTCGAGCAGATCATGTCATGACGACTTCGCTGCTGCTGCACCCGCGCTGGCCGGAGAGCCTTATGTACGTCTATGAGGACAGCGCGCCCGAGAGTGGCGGCGGCGGCGGCGGCGGCGGGGGAGGCGGCGGCG